CTTACTACAAGGGAATCCGACTATTTTGGGGTCTTTTTTCGGGCTACTCTATAAACAATTTCGTAAACCCCCATCTAGGACCCCCAGAGCAGGCCCTTATTGCCTTTTTGTAGAGTTTGGGTGCCGTTGTTCGCCCCTTGTAATGGGCACCCGTTCTATTCCTAGGGAACTCTTGGGTCTAGTAGACGTGGTTGAGGGTTTAGCCCTAAACCCTAAACTCCCTAAACCCTAATCCCTAAACCCTAGACCCTACTGCGGTTTTGAGCTAACTTGGGCTTGGAGTCGGTCAGGGTATGAGGGTTTTCAAGGGAGTCATACTCAGACCCCTAAGGATGTACCTAAACCCTAAACCCTAAACCCTAAACCCTAAACCCCTAAGAGGTTCCCTTCACATACTCCTAATGTGACGGCCCTCATATTCCCTTAGAGGATCTTGAAAAGAGGGTTCCCAAACCCAAGTGTGCCCTTTTAAGGGTTTAGGGTTTAGGGTTTCGGGTTTCGGGTTTCGGGTTTAGGGTTTAGGGTCCAAGGTAGAGCCCCCTTGAGGATTTCTAAGGTTTGGAGCTTAGGGTTTGGAGGGTTTTGGGGCTCGGGGAAGGGAAGTTGGGCATGCCCCATCCTGTCCGCGGTGGTGCTTTACTGTAACCTTAGATCCGTACTTGAAGGTTCATGGTACTTACTAACCAGTTATTATTGTACTTAGAACCCTACTTATAATACCCCTAAAGGGCCTTATAGGGATCCCAATTATAAGTAGGGTTATAAGTACAGTTATAAATTGGTTAGTAGGTACCATGAACCTCCAAGTAGCCTTTTGGGTTTATTGGGGTTTCTTAGTCAGGCAGCTAAATATGCAATTTATAGCCACCCTACTAAGTGCAGCCAAGTGTGTGTCGCATCTTCAAAAGCAGCTGCACCGCTGGGTCGAGGGTTTGCGCGGGTTTAGGGGCTTAGGATCCAGGATGTAGGGTAAACCCTAAACCCTAAACCTTAAACCCCAAACCCTAAACCTTAAGGCTCTACATTCAGAACTTCGCCCTCAACCCGAAAACCTTCAACCCCTGCAACCTTGAAACCCCTTTTGCCCTAAAAGCCTTAGACCCAGAAGCCCCCTAAGACGCCCTAAACCTCAAAACCCTAGAACCCTCCAAAGGCGCCAACGCTCCTAAAGCGCTAAAACCCCAAATCCTCAAAAGCAACCGGTAAGACCCCTAAACCCTAACCCCCCCAAAGCCCTAAAAGCCCTCAACCCTGCAGCCCTATCGGGTTTAGGGTTTAGGGTTTTTTAGGGTTTAGGGTTTAGGGTTCTCCAATAGCCCCCCATGAACTCCCCCTCCTTTGAGGACTCTACTTGGAAGTTCATGGTACTTACTATCCAATTATAACTGTACTTATAACCAACTTATAAGTGCCTTAAGTGTCCTAATATGGTCATAGGTACAGTTACAAGTAAACTTATAATTGGTTAGTAAGTACCATGAACCTCCAAGCAGAATGTAGTTGAGCCTAGGTTCACCGCGCCGCTCATCACCACGGACATGCAGGCACCAGGTTTAGGGTTTAGGGTTTAGGGTTTAGGGTTTAGGGTTTGGGCTCCAGAGTAGACCTTTTTTCCCCTTTCTTTAGGGGTAAGTCCCTCAAAACCAACAAGGGTACCCTTGTTTTTCCTAGGTTACTCTTGGGTGACCTGTGAAGCCATGAAATCTGGACTGTATGGGCAGTTCTCTAGCTGAAGGTCCTTTTTTGGGTGCCGTTAATGTAGTGCGTCGTAGTATCTTCAAAGCCAGAAAAAGAGCGCACTGTCGAGAACCTCCCATTCATCCCAGACGTTTTATGGCCTACTTGCAGGTTCATGGGTAGCTGTAAGTAGGGTTATATAAGTATATACTCTAAATGGGTTTTTAAGTTATAAGTATAGATTCCATACTTATAACCCCAAACCTAAACCATAAACCCTAAACCCCACAAGGTAAACCCTGAACCCGAATCCCTAAACCATAAGCCCTAAACCCTAAACCCTAAGCCCTAAGCCCTAAACCCTAAACCCTCAACCCTAAACCCTAAACCCTAAACCCTAAACCCTGAAACCCTAAACCCTACCCATAAACCTCCAAGCAGACCTCCCAAACCAAGGGCTCTCCGGCTCTCAGCTCCATGCCCTTTAGATCTGCAAGCCGCCCACACCCTGCTTAGGCACCGAGCCGAGCGAGATTCTGCTATATGGAGGGTTTAGAAAGTAAGGGTACCCCGTTTTGGGGGTTCCTTTTTGGGGATTCTAACTCTATTACTCTATTCCTTCTGGGGTAGAACAGGGGTACCCCTGTTCTGGGAAATGCCCATGTCATGTACTATATACTATATACCGAATAGTTTATAAGCTACAATACGTAGACATGATTCTACATGATTTGCTATACTCTCTGGTGTGCATATTTATAGATCGTATACAATATAGCTTACTACAGCATATTGCTTTATAAGATATATTTACATTGTGCTGTATTGTACTGTATTGTATTGCATTTGATTGTCTTGCCCTGTCTTGCCCTGTCGTGTACTGTATTGTAATGTGTTGCACTGTCTTGTGTTAGGGTTTAGGTTTAGGGTTTAGGGTTTAGGGTTTAGGGCTTAGGGTTTAGGGTTTAGGGTTTTGGGTATTGGGTATTGGGTATTGGGTATTGTATTGTACTGTACTGTATTGTATTGTATTGCTCCAGTTTTGTGAAAGGGATCCTTGGCTCACTCTGACCTTCTTTACGGCTTAGAGCGCAGTATGCTTTTGAAGGGTTCGGGCTCAGGGGCTGAGGCTAGGGCTTAGGGTCTAGGGTTTAGGTTTCAGGGTTTGGGGTTTCAGGTTTAGGGTTTAGGGCTTCGGGCGGGGGGGTCGGGGGGACACCCAATACCCCGATTCTACTACCAATAGCCCAGTATACCCAGTCTACTCCTGCTGCCATTTCCGGCTCCACCATTTTTGCTGCCCGTAGCTGCGCAGAACGCTGAATTCTTTAAAAGGCTGGGCCCTCATCTTGTGGGTTTCGGGTTTAGGGTTTAGGGGTTTAGGCTTGCTGTCCAAACCATCCTAGCGGGTGACACCTGCTTCTACACGTCCGCTGCGCCCGATAGAGTTCAGTCTTTATGGTTTAGGTTTTATTCGGCCGCCGCATTTCTGTTGGATCGCTTCTGCTCTTCACACAGTTTTGAACTCTTGAGACAGCAACATTCTGCCACTACTCCCTAAGCCCCTTTCATCCCACAATGCCTGGCACGTGTAGCTCCATCTCATCCTCCTGTGACTCCAACCCTCATGTGCAGCTTGTCAAGCAGTCAAGCAACCACAAAAGATGCTGTTAAGGTTTGTAGGGTTGATGGTTAGATCAAAACCTCCGGAATGTGCCTTGACAGAAGCTTCCAAAAGGCCCATTAATGAAGATCTCTCCCTATCCTCTCCCCCCCCCCCCTCCCCAAGCCCCGAACCCCAAACCCCAAGCCCCAAACCCCAAAGCCCAAAGCCCAAAGCCCAAACCCCAAACGAGAGCAGTTGATGAAGCTGCGAGGCGTAGATCATTTGTGTCACCCCGGTAGGCAATGCCCTGCTTCATTGATCGAACGACGCAAGTCCGATCGAACCCCAAACCCCCAAGCCCAAAGCCCAAACCCCAAACCCCGAAGAGTAAACTAAACCCCAAACCCTAAACCCTAAACCCTAATTAAACCCCCAAACCCTAAACCCTAAATCCTAAGCCCTAAAACCCAGAACAAAGATGGCCGAGGCCACCAGTGGCCTCTTCTTGTTTCTTTGTGCAGCGCTTACTTCGACTGCATGTTGCATCCATCTGCAACGTGGCCCGGCCCAGAGCACGCAGGGCCTCCAATCCCCCTTACTTCAGGAATGGTCCTTAAATTATACCAGGGATCCTTCTACGGTGTAAGGAATTTTCCTCAAGTAAGGAGTGTTGGAGCCTCGAAGCGGTTGACGGGTTCATTGCGCCGAGTCCCCTGTTACAGGGTTGATGTTGGGGCTTAGCGCTCAGGGCTCAGGATTTCGGGTCTAGGGGTTAGGCTTTAGAGGGTTTAGGGTTTATAGGACTTAGGGTTTTACAGGGTTTAGGGTCTAGGGTTTCTCAGCATGGCCACTCTTAAGGTAAGTTCCTTAAGAGGAACCCAGTGCTGGTAACGAGGGTCTTCCTTCTGCGGACGTGCAGCATTTCCAGAGAGCCCAGCATCCCTTAAGGACGTAAGGACTAAACCCCAGTTTAGAGGTTGGGCTTGGGGTCTAGGTCCATCGCCGCCTTCCCACAATCCTTAGGCAAGGAAAATACCCAGGAGACCTCTGTATATGGTTGCAGGCATATTCCTTAACTAATCCAGTCCCCCTAACATGAAAACACCCCTAATACAAAAAGACCTTGGCCCCAAAACCCGGTCCGGCAGTCGCCCCTTTCGGAGTCTCTACCGGAGTAGGGGGGGAGACCTGAACCCTAGTAACCCGAAAGCGTGAAACCCATCAGGTTCAACCCTTCAGTTCCCTCTAATCCTCACACGGTTTAGGGTTTAGGGTTTAGGGTTTAGGGTTTAGGGTTTAGGGTTCAGGGTTTAGGGTTTAGGGTTTAGGGTTTAGGGTTTAGGGTTTAGGGTTTAGGGTTTAGGGTTGCCAAATTAAACCCGAAGGCTTAGACCCCCAGAACCTTCACAACCTCAAGCCCTAAAACCCTCAACCCCCAAACCCTAAACCCTAAACGAGGACGGGGTTGTTCGTTCGGACAAGCGATAAGAACACCCCCCCCCCCCCCCAAAAAAAAAAAAAAAAAAAAAAACAACAAACAAATGACCCTTCCGGGGTTTTTCTCGGAGGGGAGGGGGGGGGGGTAGTATTTCTTGGAGGTGCATGGGTAGGTCTAAGTAGGGTTATGAGCATGGTAACTATGCTTATGATCCTTTTTAGGGTACCTGTGGCCCTATATGTAACTGCCCTCGGTCTAAGGGAGAGACCCGCGCCTACCATGTGCGATGATGGAGTTGAGGTGCCTCATGTCTCGGGAGGGTTCAGGGGTAATATAGGGGAATAATTACTAGTCGTATTCCCTTCTGGTCCTGTAGAATGATACTTCAAGACCCTCCAAACCCTGTTCTTCTTAGTAAGGCCCCTATATTATAGGGTTTAGGGACGACAACCTCAGCTAGTGCCCTTTTGATGTTGCTTCGGCGGAAGCTCTGGGTAACCACCCTTATCCTTATCGCAATGTACGCTCATTGCTGCTACTAGCAATGTCCTGTTGATGGTACGGTTGCTTGGGTCCTTGATTTGCGCAAATGCTGTGGAGACGAACTCCCCACGCCCTCGCAAATTGGATTTATGGTTCTGGATTTGTCGTGCGTACATGGTAGGATAAGGGGGACCCTTCAAAGGGTACCCCTTCTTAGCACTACTGGCTCTCTTAAACAGGGACTTTATTCGGAGGGTCTATATCCCCATAATCCTATCCCCTAAGGAGACAAGAAGATGGGTTTTGATTTTGCACCGGGTTGCAGCTGGCTGGCTGGCTAAGGGTCGCTGAATATCAGGACTCCACAGTGGCTGTATCCAAAATGGGGTGTGAATTCCACAGATAGAAGGTCTGCCTACTTGGTTGATGTTGGGGCCCCTAGGCGCCCTAAACCCTAAACCCCAAACCTCAAACCCTACACCCTAAACCCGAAACCCTAAACCCTAACCCCTCACGTTTTGAGGTGGCTTCGCCAGCATCTTCGGACAGGAAATGCACGGGCCTTTGGAGCTCGAGGGGTAGGGGGGTCTAGTAGGGTTTAGGGTTTAGGGTTTAGTGTTTAGGGTTTAGGGTGTAGGGTTTAGGGTTTAGGGTTCAGGGTTTAGGGTTTAGGGTTCAGGGTTTAGGGTTTCGGGTTTCGTCCCGTAAGGGTTTAGGGTTTTTAAGGTGTAGGGGTAATTAATGTGGCGCAGAAGCTGTGAATGTTGGGATGCAGACAAGCTTCGAAAGATTCGTGAAATGTGAAGGGCAGCTTGGCCACCCCCCCCCCCCTGCAAGGGGGGCGGCCTAAGCCTTGAGTTTAGGGTGGAATCAAGGGGGTTTATTTCGAGGTTAGGAGGGTTCGAGGGTGTTGGTATTCCCGAAGACGAGATAATAAACCCTAGATCTGCAAGAAGACAAGGTGCTTTTGCGCAAGTCGTTCAGCTACATTTTTCATTTCCCTATCAAACCAATGAAAAGACCGCCCTTGGTTCCACCCAAGCAGGACAGTCGTTCTGTTTGAATACACATTTTTCATACACACACATAGTTAGCTGTCACTCAATGTTTGTAAAATGTACTGCAAGTTTAGTTGATATCTGCAACTCCAGATGTCATGGAAGGCTTACAGTAAGCCCTCCACCCTTAGCACCCCAAGGATTCTGTAGAGAACAGCTGCGCTTGTAAGTGTCCTGTAGATTTTTGAGGGTTCAGGATTGGGACTTTCTCGGGACGAACAAGGCATGTTCCATAGCTCGCGGGTGTTGAAATGAGGGGTACCTTCTTGGGGTCCTTATTCTAAAGGGAATCCTACTATTTGGGGGGGGGGGGGTCTATCTAAGGGGTCCCTGGATCGGCTCGTATTTAGGGCTTAGGGCTTTTAGGGTTTAGGGTTGAGGGTTTCGGGTCTAGGGTTTAGGGTTTTCGCCCACCCAAAAGACTAAACCCTGCTCCTTCACATGCCATGCCGTAAGACTCGTTACAGCGCCACATTATGTTTGTGACGATGCGTTTCCGTGGACGCGTGCAGCTGTATCTGTTTCTCCGCGCTCTTTAACTTTCCAGATCTTCCAGAATAGCTTAATTAAGAAGCCGTTATACGCATACCTTAAAACCAGAATAAGAGCCCACATGCGATTTAAGGGTTGTTCCCCAACTGACCTTGGAAGATCTGTGTTTCTTGTTTGTCATGCGAAGATTCAGGGGATATTCGTCAGAGTCAGCGTCCGAGACTGGCTCGGAGGGCTATGGGAGTTCCGGCAGTGGAGATGCAGGTCGCTTGGAGTTGGATGGCAGCCCGTTGCCAAGTGAGCCAAAGTATGTGGCTATCATGCCTCCTCCTGGCCTGAGCCAGGACATCGGTGACGTGGCAAAGGTTTACCCAGCGCAGCTTGCCTCACTCGGTCTGCCCTTCCTGGCTTCTCCAAGTGGCTTCGCCAACAAGAAGAAAACCCCCCCCCCCCGCCCCGACTCCTCCCAGCACCGAAGCCAGAAGCAGCGCAACTTCCAGAACTTCAACTTTGCCGTCATCTTCCATGGCTACGACCTGGAGAAGCATGCCGACTTCGAGCTTGTCCCTCGCTTAATCGGCCGCAATGGCGACAACATGAAGAAGATCTACAGAACTGGGGTCGACGTACGCGTTCGTGGTCGCGGGAGTGGCTGGAAGGAAGTCAAGTCACCCCATGGCAACTACGAAAGTGATGAACCCCTCCAGTTGGCTGTTTGGTGCCGTTCGGGGGAGATCAGGGAAGCGGTGTCCCTGGGGCTGATTGGGGAACAAGTTTAAAGTTCTTTGGGCTCTATACAACCTTATATAACCAATTATATATATATATGTAAAAAGTTTTTATGCAACCCTTGATAACCCCCTAACATCACGTGCCCCCTTGCAACTCTACCCAGGTTCAAGGAGACAATGGTGCTGGTGAAAGGCATCGCGCACCACTTCCGCCGCTTCTGTCGCCAACAAAAGCTGGACTGTGTGGAGCTGTATGTGGTGCAGCAAGGCTGAGGGTTCATCTGGAAACCTTGTGCAACTTTTTCCAGGAGACAATGGTGCTGGTGAAAGGCATCGCACAGCATTTCCGCCTCTTCTATGGCCAACAAAAGCTGGACTGCGTGAGCTGTACGTGGTGCAGTAGAGGCTGAGGGTTCATCTGTAAACTTTTTGAGATTTTTCCGGGACCCCCAATCACCATATAATGTAGCCCTAGATGCAATGATCTAGCCCGCAGAACTTCATATTCTGAGGGGCGCCCAAATCCGCCCGTAGAAAATTCAGGTTTATAGGGTCCATGTCCAACCCGATGACCCGCCGGAGGATGTGCGTGTGGCTTATCCCAGTGTGTCACAGTGTTGGGCTATGATGCGTTTATAAGAAAGCAGAACGGTAAATCATTGCTTGCAACTAGATTGTGCTGATACATGTTGACAGTAAGTGTGTACATGTGTATACTTGTTTATATAGATTTTCCTCATTTATGTTTATACATTCGCATTACAACGCCCAAGTGAATTTTGTTTATCTTGTGCGTGGCTGCCCTTGTACGACAATTGCGGCGGAACCACGCTGACGTTCCGATAGAGCTGCGACTCCGCGGGGAGCCGCGCTAGGTATAGGCAGACACTCCCTGTTGGACCCAGCAGCCAAGGCCAGCTGTGTCTGTTCATGCTAGCGATCGACAACATGCAGTCGGCTTTAGCGTTGGAACTATCAGACAATACAAGGTGTGTACAAGTCACTGGCCAACGCGCTCCGTCGCGGCTCTTCCACCAGAAATTAAGACTGCGTGCAACGATCAGGAAACTTTTTGACAGGGGTGGAGGGCAAGCGAAGCACCGATGGATCCTCCCAGAGCTTGGCAGCCCCCGGTTTGTAGACGTGCAGGGTTCGGGTTTATGGGGCCACTGCCCGAATACCCACAGAAGCCCCCGAAACTTATCCTTCGGTGCGACGCGCCGGATGGCCTGCGCCCATAGAACCATGGTGCACCTGATCAAGGGCTCGATGTCACCTGAAGCTGCGAGTTGCAGGTGTGTTTTTTGTTTCAGCTGCTAAGTTGAACTGTGACACAAATCTGTGGCATCTTGCCTGATGTAACACGTGGGGTCTTTTGGATGATGTTTGCCGAAGCAACACCTCCTCCATCTCATTCGGCTCAGTGGTTAACCCACGGCATGAATGGATGCATGCGAGCGAAAAGATCTCGTCACCACGCCAGAAGACAAGGAAAAGAAGGACGCGAACATGCAGTTCGGTCACTGTTCGGTCTACATAGAAAAGTCAGGCAAAGCTTCTTGTAAAACCTCTGCGGGGTCCCACGTTCTCCGTGGCATTAGCTCTATCGGGGAGGAGTGGAAGGGTGTAGTAGGAGCCGTTTTGGACAGCCATTTGGGAGCTGGTGGCTCGTCCCCCTACCCTGACAAGACTCTCATCCCAAATCTCCAAAGTCAACCATGGAGCCTTAAGCGCGAAACCGACTACCCTAACCCTAGATCCTGCTTGTACAACCCTGGCTCCTGAATAGCAAGGACTACCTAGAGGCTTCCGTTTGCCGGCTTAGCCTTGAGAAAGCCTAGAGCCGGCAAGTGTTGGTCTGAATCATGGCGGCTTCTTCTGGTGCCCTAAACCCTAAACCCTAAACCCTAAACCCTAAACCCTAAACCCTAAACCCTAAACCCTAAACCCTAAACCCTTAACCTAAACCCTAAACCCTAAACCCTAATTCATCCCTAAACCCTAAACCCTAAACCGGTTTGGGGTTGTAGGTTTTAGGTGGACGGGTTGGGCCCCTCCCTGCAAAGCCAAGTCTTGAGTCTTCACGCCCTGGCCTTGAGGGTTGAGGTAGGGCAGGGTTTAGGGTTTAGGGTTTAGGGTTACGGTTTAGGGTTTAGGGTTGAGGGCAGAAACTGGAGATTGGGTTGAAGGGTTTAGGACCAAGCCCAAAACCCTCAAGGGCTCAGCTTTGTAGGGATTTAGGGATTTAGGGTTTAGGGTTCAGGGTTTAGGGTTCAGGGTTTAGGGTTTAGGGTTTCGGGTTTAGGGTTCAGCCAGACCCTAAGCTTCGAAACCTGAGACACGCAACCCCTCAAGGCCCTATGGCTGCGCGAAATCCCTCAGCCCCAAACCCAGAAACCCTGTAAACCCTGCAAACCCTTAGGGATTTAGGGTTTAGGGTTTAAGGGTTGAGGGTAAACCCTATAAACGCCTAAAACCCTATAAGCCACATAAACCCTCAAGCCCTACAAGCTCTATACTCTATGTGTGGTTGTCAACATTATGATCCCTTTTGAGGTACCCTGAATATTAGCTGTATTGCAATAGGGATCCTAAAAGGGACCATAATTTTGACAACCACCCAAAGAGCATAAACTTCTAGGGTTTATGTTTTAGGGTTTAGGGTTCTATAAACCCACAGCAGCACTGGGCCCAAGGGGTGAGGACGGATGAAGGGTGCGGGACCCCAGTGGTCCTCGGAGAGAGCGCTTTTGTTGTCAAGGGTTCCTCAAGGCTCCCTGAACTAACGAGTAGGGTTTAGGGTTTAGGGCTAGGGTTTAGGGTTCAGGGCTTAGGGCCCAATAT